GTGGTGATGGGTTGTAATTAGTATTTGGGTGGTGAACATGATGTAATCTATGCAGAAACAGAAGTATAATGATGTACACCTGAAATTTATACAATGTTATAAACCAATGTTACTGCAATAAACAAAAAATTTAAAAAAGAAAGAGTATATGGGAGTTCTTTGTACTATTTTTGCAACTATTCTGTAAGTTTGAAATTATTATAAAATGAAAGTTTAAAAAATTAGGACAAATATCAATTACTTGAAGATGCTTAAGTGTAACTATGCTCCAAGACAGTGAAATCGTTAAGATTCCAAACTCATAATTCTGCAAAAGTTAGATATAAACTTAATCACCATGAGACTTTATCTGATCAGTTCTTCATTAGTCCACTGAATATATTCTATGATGGATACATTTGTTTATTTTTAAAAATCAATTTTGTTAAAGAAAACACTTAATTTACTTAAATTACACCTGAAAGGACACTGTCAATACATAACAACAGTGTTTATTAGATGCTAAATAGTAGACAGAACAATTTGGGAACTTGTTCAATTTACGGAGCATTTTAGTTCTGTAACATGCTGTTGCGTTGTTAATGTCTGATAGTTTGAATGTCAATTTGATATCTCATCTAAGAACTGTCACAGGGCTCACCAGTTCTGCTTTGTGGTATTATCTGAGGGGTACAGGCTCAAGGAGATCTACAGCTTCTCTCCAGATAGTTTCTACAAAGTCCTACAGCCTCGGTATCTGAGCACTCATCGAATTACTCAAGAGCATCACTTCCTGCAGCATCTTCACTTTTTCCTCTGAGGTTTCTACATGCTAGTCCTCCTTGGCCTGTGACTTCACAGTCTCAGTTGATCAATAGCTTATGATACCAAAGGGCTTTCCACCAAGGAACTAAATGTGTGTTCTCTCCTCCACTTGCTTATGAAAATCCAGAAATAAATGTTGGGTTATCATCTAATTTAATTAAGCACACCTCACTTCCAGTGTTGTGCTGTCTGATACTAAAAAAATTTCTAAATGATTTTCCATAGACTCATTGTATTCTCACTGCCTTCCTTCTTGCCCATATAAGATTATTTAATATAGGTTTATAACATTTTAGCTATTCTAGGCTAAAATGCATCTCCAAATATGCGAGATATTTTTTCTTCCACAATTCTTGCTATTCTTCAGTTTTCCTCACACTTTACTTCAAAATTGACTTCCTGAAATTTTAATTAATCTACTTCTGTGATGTCTAAAGCCCAAGTCCATATCATTTCAAGTATAATTTTTTGCTGAATGCTCAGAGTGATAATAAAGATAGTTCCAGATTAAATCACATGAAAGTACGTAGATGATCTAAGCCTGAAACCACGACTGTTTGCCAGTATTAATTATAAAATCTCCAAGTCCAAAATAAGCTCATTTTAATTATTCATTTTCATGTGAAGTTACAAAAAAATGAAAAGTTAGAACCATAAATGCAAAGTTCTTATTCTTTCTTCGATATCTTTAGCATATCCCATGCTTTCTCCTTTTGCCCGTATAGTTCCTTCTGCTTGGAATAATTTCTCAGCCTGTGTTTATCAGGATCCTAGCCATCCTTCAAAGCCTTGTTCAGATTTTACTTCCCATTTGAGGCTGTTTCTGATTACACTGGTGCACATTGGTTTTTTCCTCCTTAGAATGTCTGTTCCTAAAGTTAGTTAATTTAAGAAAGATTGGCATGTAATTATTCTCCTCTCATTGTTTCCTATAAGTCTGTAGGTTAGCCTAGCTCCCTAGTCAGGCTATAAACTTTGTGAAGGCAAGGACCATGTCTTATAAAATTGCTTTTCAAGCTATTTTTCTTGCGTAACTCCTAAAATGATTTTGAAAAATTTATACCTTCCTACACATTTTTAAGTTGACATGTGAAATTTTATCATAAATATAAATAACTGTAAAGGATATAATGCAAAATATTCACATTAAAGATAAAGGAAAACAAAAACAAAACTGTTATATGAGTCTTTTAAGTGTATCTACAGGAATCTAAATAACTGTTGTGATGGACACCCGTAGTCATTTATTTGAAAAAAGTACGTGAAGTGTCTTTAACTGTTGGAAATTTTACACCATTGCCTTTTCTCCTTGAAGCCATATTTCTATTCCACATTCCTCAGAGAATTTTATCCTAATAGAAAGGGTTTTTATGCTTGAAATCTTCTGTATGTCAAATATGTATATAAATTGAAGTTATTTTTCTAAATTTTCTGTGACCAGTGGCTTTAAGTGATAAAATCTTCCTTCTAGACTGACTTATCATTACAATTATTTTTAGTACTATAGAGTGATCAAAACCAAAACCACATAAATGTATTATAAATTTTTATAAATACTTATTAAACATAAAGAATACAATTTGTTGGAAATACATGTTTTTATAAGATACATGGAACTGATCATTTACCCACATATGAATATTACTTATTGCTAGAAATAAGCAGCATTCAGCACAAATTCTGTTTCTGTTTTACATTTTTATAGATGTAAATGCTGAGAAGACTTGTTCACATAAAATTGTAGGTGGGAATAGAAGGTGTTTTATTATAGAAATGTCAGTCAATTCTATGAATTCCTTCCAAGTGATATGCTAAAAATTATATAGTGATTTATTATAAAAATGTTTTTCATCTCATATCAACTGTTAACTTGGTTAGGTCTTTTTTCAATGTCATTGCAAGCAAAGGATTGGAAACACCCTACTTAGAAAAAGATTTGTTAAACAGTCATTAGGAATAATTTACTTTCTCAATTTCTGAGAATAATACCAAAAAACCTTTACTAAAATTTATCAGATGACTATTAATTATACTTGTTACACTTTAACCAGTATACTCAGAAAGTGTGGGAAAAATGAAAACATTAATTGCAAATACCTGTCAATACAATAATTTTTTGAGAAAATGATTTTATTGTGTCATATGCTTTAAATATATTTTCATCAACTCTGCAGATTTGGTTCATTCAATTTTTGGAAAATATTTACCATATTTACCTAGCTGGCAAAGCCAGCCCTCATTGTCAAAACAGCCAGCCAAATCAGATTTAAACTTTCTTTTAAAAAATATCTTACCCTTTATTTATTCAAACAAACATGTAAACAAACATCACTCGGCTTGTATTCACACTCCTGAATTCCTTTCCTAAGACAGATAGCTAAGGCATGGAACCCTGTCATAAGTTTGTTTCACTCATGAAATAAGGTACATGTCTCCCTTGCTTTCTTTGCTTTCCTGTCATGGGACTCTTCCTCAGGAATGAGGCATTCTTTGACAATAGTTGGGGGATGAAAAGCACAAGGACATTAAATGAAACTTGTCAAATATCCTTCTCCTCCATACTGTAATATGTCTGAATACCAAACATCCCGATATGGACCAAAATACCCCGTTACTTATGCGTGCTTTGCCATGAAAAGAAATATGTGTAAGACAGGACAAACTTTGAAGCTCTACTTTGGATTTTCCATGCCTTGATTAAAGGAGGCTTCCCCATACCAGTCTTTTTTACTATTGTTTGGTACCTTAGAGGTTCTTATGCTTGCACCTCAAGGGAAGATGCACCATAATAAGATGAGTAAAGAATATGTCTTTCTTCTTAAAGTGGGAGAAAATGCATTATGAAAGCAAAGAGGGAGAGAACTAGCAAGATGCTTTTACACAGTTGTATTCTCAGGCAGATCAGTTTTTGGAAAGAACATATATAGAACTTGTGGATCTGGAAATTGAGTCCTTTAAAACTATCTATGTCTACTTAGACCTAGGGAAGTCTTTAAGTTCCCCCAGTGGTATGCATACACTAGTTTGAAGATAGATTTCTTATACTTCTTATTGTACCCAATAATGTGCTGAAATATAGTTGGTACTAATACCTTTGTCTACACGGTAATTAACATAGGAAGGAAAATGATATTAAGGCTGCAAAAACATTAAATTCAGCAAAAGTATATAAGCAGAAATATCAGTTTATTTTCGTTGGCATATTCTTTTATGTTTAAATTTTTTAAAATTTTGTTTAAAAGTTCTTATCAAAGAATCTATACATTTCTGATTAGTTTCCCTTTGAACACATGAAATTCACACTGCAGTAATAAAGTTCTTTTAGATATTAATTAGAATAATTATAGTTGTCATTCTTGCTTTGCTAAAATTTCATTTGAGTAATTTTCACACTCTATTTTCTACACTATATTACACCTTATTTTTAAGAAGATGTTTCAAATAATATAGCTATAAAATAGAATTGTTGATGGGAGAGAAGGCTAGAATTGAAGTTGTATTCTTAAAATGTCTGAACTTGTCAATTATTATAAAGAGATATATTAAAATGATTATTAAATGATTATATTAAAATGATATATTATTATATTATATTAAATCATTATATTAAAATGATTAATATTCATAGGTAACCATTGGCAGATGATGTTTATTTTGTAGATAAAATGGATCTTCAGAAGCGATTAACTTAAAAATAGTGAGCATTTCTATTTTTGCCAAAGTAAAATCTTAGCTTTATGTTGTTGACAGAAAATGCTTCCAAGGCAGGATTGAAACAAGAGCAGTGCCAAGACGTTCAGTTGCCTAGTGAAACTGTGTTGTCCCAGGAAACACTACCATTCAAGATTAATGCTTGGAAATCGATGGAGGTAAGTCACTGTCGTAGTTTCCTATTGCTGCTCTTACAGATTACCACCAACTTAGTGCCTTACATCAGCACAGATGTGTCACCTTACAGTTCTGTGGGTTAGAAGTCGGACACAGGTCTCACCTGGCTAAACCCAGGTGTCTGCAGGGCTGCAGTCCTTTCTGGAGGCCCTCGGGGAGAATTTGTTTTCTTGCCTTTCCTGTGCCATGTGTTCTAAGAGAAACTGTGCTTGTATTTTAACTTTGTTTTTGGTGTCTTTTGTTATACAGAGTTTTAAATAAGAGTAAGGTTAAATTATCAAAGTTTTCCTTTATGGTTTGTGCTTTTTAGAAAATCTTACTTAAGAAATTCTTTTTTATCCTAATGTAATAAAGGCCTCGTATTTTTTCTTCTAAATGTTGAAATCCTTATGCCCTCTAGAATTTTACTATATAGTGTAAAATAGGGGTCTTATTTTATTTGGTACCCCTGTGGATAAGCAATATTTAATTTATTGAACAGTCCATCTTTCTCTACTTGTTTTTAAAAACATTTCATTATGAAATAATTATAGACTTATAGGAAGTTGCAGGAATAGTACAGAGTCCCATGTATCCTTTACCCAGCTTCCCCCAGTGTTGACTTCTTCTATAGCTATAGTACCATATCAAAACCGGGAAATGGACCTTGATATGTTACTGCTAACTAGACTACAGACCTTATTCAGTTTTCAAATTTTCAATTCAGTTTTTTAACCTGTATTTGAGTGTGTATATGTGTGTGGGTTCTATGCAGTTTTATCTCAAGTATAGATTTGTGTAACCAACACCAAAGTCCAGATACAGAACTGTTCTGTCTCTACAAAAGAAGTCCCTTGTGCTATCCATCCCATCTCATCCCCCACAACCCCATCTCCTGGTAACCACTAATCTTTCCTCCATCTCTATAGTTTTGTTATTTCTAGAATGTTATGTAAATGGACTCAGACCATATGTAACCTTTCGAGATAGATTTTTTTTCACTCAGCATAATGCTCTTGAGATCCATTCAGGTGGTTGCGTGTATCAACAATGCGTTCCTTTTTATTGTTGAATGGCATCCCATTGTATAGATGTACCAAAATTTATTCAGCCATTCAGTTCACCCATTGAAGGATATTTGAGTGTTTTCAGTTTGGGGCTATTTATGAGTAAAGCTGCTGTGAATGTTTGTATACAGGTTTTTGTGTGTTAAGTTTTCATATCTCTGGGACAAATGTCCAAGAGTGCGATTGCTGGTTTGTATGGTAAGTTCATACTACTTTTTGTAAGAAACTGTCAAATTGCATTACATTTTTTACAATTACATTACAAATTGCATTTCATTCCCACCGGCAGTGTAAAAAGGAAAGATCCAATTTCTCTGCATCCTCAGCAACTTTTGGTATTGCCACTGTTTTTATTTTAGCTATTTTAATAGGTTGTAGTGATATCTCATTGTGATTTTAATTTGTGTTTCCCAAATGGCTAATGATGTTGAACATCTTTTTATGTGCTTATTTGTGCCATCATGCCTTCTCTCTGGTGAAATATATGTTCATATTTTTTGCCTATTTTCTAATTGGATTCTTTGGGTTTTTTTTCTTTCTTTTTTTTTTTTTTTTTTGTGAGGAAGATCAGCCCTGAGCTAACATCCATGCCAATCCTCCTCTTTTTGCTGAGGAAGACTGGCCCTGAGCTAACATCCATGCCCATCTTCCTCCACTTTATGTGGGATGCCGCTACAGCATGGCCTGACAAGCAGAACGTTGGTGTGTGCCCGGGATCCCAACCCGGGCCGCCAGCAGTGGAGTGCGCATGCTTAACCGCTATTCCACGGGCCAGCCCAGGATTCTTTGTTTTTTACCATTGAGTTTTGAGAGTTCTTCATATATTCTGGATACAAGTCCTTTGTCAGAGGTGTGATCTGCATATATTTTCTTCCGATACGTGGCTTGTCTTTTCTTTTTACAATATCTTTCACAGAGCGAAAGTTTTAAATTTTGATGAAGTCCAGTTTATCTTTCTTTTTTTCTTGGTGAGGAAAATTAGCCCTGAGCTAACATCTGTGCCAGTCTTCCTCTATTTTGTGTGTGGGTCACCGCCTCAGCATGGCTGACGAGTGGTGTAGGTCCACACCTGGAATCCAAACCCACGAACCCAGGCCGCCAAAGCAGAGCACACCGAACTTACCTGCTATGCCACGGGGCCAGCCCATAGTTTATCAATTTTTTATTTTATGGATCATCCTTTTGGTGTCATATCTAAGAACTCTTTCCCTAACCCATGGTCACATAGGTTTTCTCCTATGTTTTCTTCTAAGAGTTTTATAGTTTTATGTTTTACATTTAGTTCTATGATCTATTTTGAATTAATTTTTGTATAAGGTGTGAAGTATAGGTCAAAATTCTTAAAAAAAATTTTTTTTTGCTTACACTTGTCCAGTTGTTTCAACACCATTTGTTGAAAAGACTTAAATTTTACTGTAATATGTGTAAGTGTGGGTTTTCCTTCTCTCTCTTCTTTGTAACCCTATGAGACTTTCCAGTGGGAGGTCTTTCATCTCTATTTAATTCTGAGAAAGTTGTCTCTGGTTCAAATATTTCCTACCATTTATTTTCATTTTTCTCTTTTTCTTGGGCTCTTCTTATCTAGATATTGGTAATTCTCTATCTTCATATCTCAACTTTTCTTTATAGTTTCTATTTCTTTATTGTTTTCTTTTTTCTTCTAGAGTTTCTCAATCTGGTCTTCCAATTTAATAATTTGTTCTCAGCTATATCCATACCACTATTTATCCCATCTGTGTTCTCTGTTTCAACATTCTCTTTTTACATTTGATATTTAATATTTGTATTTCATTCTTTTTGTTGTGTTTCTTCCTGTTTCATATTGTTTATATCTTGCCTTATTTTAGTATGTTTTTTAAGCTTATTTTAAATTCTTGGTCCATCTTTTCTAATATCTGTGCTTCTGATGAAACCTGTAATTAGTTTTTTATTTTTCTTTTGAAATAGTTTTTGATCCTCAAATGACTGGTTACCCTTAGGGGCTGTGGCTGCTCTGTCTAGGATTGCTAAAGGTCAGACCTCAGTCTGTGTCAGCCCGATCAGCCTGAGTGGGAGGCAGGGTCAATGGACTCCAGGGTGGAGAGCACTTCTATCCCCTCCCACTCCCTCCAAAAATGCCAGAGTTAATCATTCCTCACTGTATGGATCAACGCCTCAAGTTAGGTTTTCATTCTTAGCACCCAAAGAAGAAGCAGCTTTGGGGGGAGACACTGCTTAAATTGTAAACCACCTGCACTAAGGGATTGGAAGAGGAAGGATGAAGAAGCATCTTCCCAAGTCTACCTAATCAGTCCCCTTTATTGTTTTCATCTCCTGCCCACTCAGGGCTTCTGCACTGACCAGAAGTGCTCCTGAGTCCAGCTGTCTGAGTCACAGCACGTGTGCAGGCAGGTGCCATGGCAATGAAATGGGGGTAATTCTACCAGCTTCTTCTTTTATTTTGTCCTACCCCTGCACAGGCCACCTCTGCCCCTAGCAAAAGCCAACACCAGCCTCCTCCTGCCCCACTCACACCCAGACGTACCAGTTCAGAACAGCCCCTCTATCTCCCCAGTGGCCTCTCACAGTTTTCTTCTCGTCTTGATGTGTCGTCCCTTTATGGTATCTCGAGTTGATCCTGAGGGAGGGTGCCACCAGAACCTGCTCTCTTCTTCAGTGTTCTCTGACCTCAGACATATACCTACTTACTCCTGTTTGCATTTTCACATAAGAACACGCATCTTTAATTCTGGCGTATACGGCCCTTCAAATATTACTTTTTCTTGAAATATTTTTTCTTCTTAATTTCCATTAGATAGACATTGGGCCACTTAATCTCTCATCTTCCATGTCTTTCAACTGCTTTTAAAAATAATTTTTTGTCTCATTATATTTCCATGCTGCATTTTAGGTAATTAATCAAAACCATCTTCCAGTTCATTTTTTCTTTCATCTGCACCGACTCTAGAATTTTTCCTTTCCATTGAGTGTTTTATTTTAATAGCTATATTTTTCATTTCCAAGATTTCCCATTGCTTGTTTGTATCCATTTGTACTTATTTCATCTCGGCCTATTTTTGTTTCTTGTTTTCTTATTCCTTTAAATTGATGTTATCCTTTCCATTATCTTTTTGAGGACTCTAAACCTACTTAGTTTTATTTTATTTATTTATTTATTTTTAAAAATTTTTTGTTTATTGCAGTAACATTGGTTTATAACATTGTATAAATTTCAGGTGTACATCATTATACTTCTATTTCTGCATAGAGTACATCATGTTCACTACCCAAATACTAATTACAACCCATCACCACACACATATGCTGAATTATCCCTTTCACCCTCCTCCCTCCCGCCTTCCCCTCTGGTAACCACCAATCCAATCTCTGTCTCTGTGTGTTTGTTTATTGTTGTTATTATCTACTACTTAATGAAGGAAATCATATGGTATTTGACCTTCTCCCTCTGACTTATTTCACTTTGCGTAATACCCTCAATGTCCATCCATGTTGTCACAAATGGCTGGATTTCATCGTTTCTTATGGCTGAGTAGTATTCCATTGTGCATCTATACCACATCTTCTTTATCCATTTGTCCCTTGATGGGCACTTAGGTTGCTTCCAAGTCTTGGCTATTGTGAATAACACAGCAATGAACACAGGGGTGCATGTATCTTTACGCATTGATGTTTTCAAGTTCTTTGGATAAATACCCAGCAGTGGAATAGCTGGATCATATGGTAGTTCTATCCTTGATTTTTTGAGGAATCTCCATACTGTTTTCCATAGTGGCTGCACCAGTTTGCACTCCCACCAGCAGTGTATGAGAGTTCCCTTCTCTCTACATCCCCTCCAACACATGTTGTTTCCTGTCTTGTTAATTATAGCCATTCTGACAGGCGTGAGGTGATATCTCATTGTAGTTTTGATTTGCATTTCCCTGACAGTTAATGAT